ATATATATATATATAAATATATATAAATATATAAATATATATATATATAAATATATATATATATATAAATATATATATATATATAAATATATACCTATATAAATATATATATGTAATGTACAAATGCGTATTGGTTTGCAACGACAAACTTAAGCCAACTTCAAAAGAAATCACCATCACCATGTTTGGACTAAGAAAACGAACACAAACACACAATTTTTTATATTCCATATACACATACTTATAAATGTATACGTGCACACGGCGCATAAATATATGCAGCCCGTTTAAAATCGCCAAATCGCATTTCTCGTGCTGTATGTTGCGAATTATGTTTCGGGTTTTTTTTCCCTTCTTTTGCTCTTTTGTTGTTCATTCCCGTAAAATAGACTGAAATAATAATGAGTTCATTTGAGATGAAAAACAAAATTTTATGTTTGTGTGTATGAAAAGAAGAAAAAAACAAAAAATAAAATATAATTTTTTTATTAAGAATTTTTAAATTAAATTGTCATTAAATATTTTTTATTTAACATAATTCTTTATAGGGGTACGCAAGCTCTGTTCCTCTTTCCATCTGCGACACAGCGAGATGCCATTTAGAATTTAGATAAGCAACTTATAGTTTTTTCTGTTTTAGTTCGATGTAGTCAGTTTCCGTCTTCTACTTAGAATTAGTAAGCAAAAAAAACAACTGATATTTGTCTAAAATTTAATTGGGCTGAGTTAGCTTCAAAACGCGTTCAAAGTGAACTTTTTTGATTAAAATCCTACGGATGCTTTCTTTTTCTCATTTCCATGATAAATTAGTATTAATTTAAAACTATTAAATTGACGTATTCCCAACTGATATGGCGAGGCATTATATTAAATGATTAAAAGGATTGCACGCGATCAAATAGAGAGACGGAGACGCCATAGTAGCCATAGCTAGCCAAGAAATGCGATTAACAAGTCAGTGTTCTTGTGGACAAATCTCCTGTGCGGTAGTGAATTTTCTCTTGGTCATACCTCATGTGCTCCTTCTTGTGTTGCGCTGCACTAACTGAGACGAGTCCTTTCTTCAATTTCCCTGTCTTCTGTGCATGTACGAAATAAAAAAAAGCCAAATCTCTGAAATGATTTTCTGACATTATGTTCTCGGTATGTTTCTCATGAAACATGAAATATGAGCGGATATATAAATCTCGCAAAGATATCCGTTCATTATAGTCCTAGGTGTTGACATCTATTAGATAGATTATCTTAAATATATTAACGTTCAAATACATTATATCGAGTATATCTACGCATGGTGGGATAATGTTGCCAAGTTTTGCACAGTCAGTTATCAAATAAAATGCTTGCGTTTCGAAAGCATGCTACGTACACTTTGAGGAGCCACAAAACGAAACAAGCGTGTGCGGTTAGTGAGATGCAAGACAAGCCGCGAACATTCTTGCATTTTTTTTTTTTTTTTTTACCTTCCAATAATTCCCATAAAATCGTAAAAATTTCACGCCTTTCACATCATCCATCCACTTTGCGCTTAAAATTTTATTTCCTGCATGTATTTTTTTTTTTTATATTCTCGGAGAGGAATCTCTCTCTTCCATCTTTATCATCTCTGGTCGAGCTTCTCTCATTCACTTGTCAGTGATAAACTTTATAGGCAACTATGTACGGTCAAATTTTACTATTTGTGGGCGCTAGCAGACATGTTATTGTTTTTTGGTATATGTGTACAGCAGTTTCGAATATTAATGAGAGTCGTCTGTCGTACCGCAGTAAAGCACGGCAGTGGCTTTACACAAATCCTACACTATACATATACAACTACTGTGTTGTACGCATTGTATCACGTACTATGAATTTCAATCTTTGTTGCTTACAAATGCGCCGACGTACTATTGCAATTACTACTACTTTAATGTTGTGTCTTGTAGATGTGTAATGTTCGAAAATACGTATTATATACGTATGGATAATGGTTTCGTTTTTTTGCCTGTTTGTCGGATGAAAAAAGTCACACAAGAAAATTTATTTTTTGTTAACCGAGAATAACCGGGACTTTCTTCTCTCTTTCTCTCTCGCTCTCACGCTCTCTCGCTCACGCTGTCTCTTGTGTTTTATCAAAAGTGTTATAAACCCCTAAAAAGTAAACCAGCAGCTGTTATTGAGCAATATGCAGAGGGTTGTTCTTCGGTTTTTAATTATTTGGAAAATGTACATATATAGTCTTAAGTATGTACAAGCTGCCTGTGCCCGTTATATATTTATAAATATAGTGTTGGAACAAAAACAAGAGACTGTCAGCTGTTCGCAGCAAATACGCAAAATCATAAAATTGATAAATTTTTAAAACAATTCTTTTTTCTAAGAATAATATTATTTTTAAAAAAAGAAAAAAAAAAATGTATTTTCAACGCCTTGTGGCAGCTTTAATTAAAACTATCTCTCTCAGTGATATGTGTAGTCTTTAAAGGACCAAGAAGGAGTGGCGGTGAAATCAAATATATAATCACAAAAATTTCTCTTAAAGGTAGAGAAATATGAATCTCCGTATCTCCGTCTTTCTCGATTTTGCTCTCGCTCTCCATTGTTCCATTTTTGCCGTCTTTCTCTTCTCTTATAAAATTAGCATACATTGCTTTTGCAACAATTATTGCCATACAAGATTTTTTTTTTGAAGACTTGCAAATTATAAACGGTACGGTACGGTCGAACATCGTCTACGTTACGCTTCACAATCATCATATTAAAATATTATAAGATATATTGCAATAAAAGTGTTTATAGTAAAAATAAATATATATATATATATATAAAAAAATAATCATAATAATAATAATTTTAAGGCAATATTTAAAAATGTGTAAATTTTAACGGGGGATCCTATCTAGTCTTGATCAACGGTAATTAATTTTAAAACATAGTTTTTCTTGTTGTTTGTTAAAAGATTTTTATATATCGCTCAGCTTAATGTTGTGATTTTTTTATACGAAATTCTTTGAATAATTTTTTTTTTTTCCTTACTATTTGTAACATGAAGAAATTGTTCGGCTTTGACAGGGGGAGGGAAAAAATGTGTATTTTGATATATATGAAAATATATTATGTAATGGAGGGTGAGAAATGACACTTACTCCCTTTATATATATATATATATACGAATCTCATGGAGGGGATGGGGAAAATATCATTCCTATTAAAAAGCGGCTTCAAGAGATCTTACAAAGTGTATATAATCGTAATCAGTGTCAAATTCTGAATTGATCGAAAAGCGTTCCCTATACTCTATGTGATAAATATTCGCCTGGCTTTAAATAGGAGTTTTTGCATGCAAGTTAATTGTCAGTCAATTGATCGAAGAGCGCGTCCTTTATTTTCAAAAGTAGATAATTTCGACTGCAAGACATAAATTGTTACAAATTCCTATATATTATGTAAGTCCATGAATGAAACGGTGAAAAGTGGAAAAAATCATTTGTGCCAACCCAATACTATAAAGTATGAAAAATTTATTGCTTTTCCTTTTATTGGAGTTTTTTTTTTTGTTTTTGATTAGCTATGGTACAGATATAAAGACTACTCCACCTTAGTCGAATATAATTTTCTTATTTGTTACCACAATTGCTTTGATCAACATTGTCGTCAAGTTTTAAACGTAGAATGTCCAAATCATACTGTGTCCCTACAATCCTAAAGCAAGTTGCACTTTATTATCATAGGTTTGGGTAAACTAAGTTACTTGAATCCTCCTTTTTATATTGCACTGTTTATTTATATATTTTATTTTTTTATTTTATCTAATCGGGTGTTAATTTTATCTTTTTAACTATCTGAAAAATTATTGAACATGTTGAAATTTGTGTGCTTTTTATATGTCGATCAGTAAAGATTTCCTTTCTTTATATTTTCTTTGTTTCAGTTTTTATCACATAATTGCGGTATAGCTGATCAAAGCGCGATTTCCTTTCTTGCCCAACTTAATCTAATCAAAGAAGAAGACAGCATATTATTATTAGTTGATTGTAAAAATGCCTGGAGGTTTAGCAACAGAAATACGTCATCATCCAATGCGAAATGGTGGTGGTGGCTTCTCCTGTAGCCAGTTCTATGGAACTGGCTCACCGTCATCGTTATTTCAAAATTTACTTAAGCGAAGTTGCTGCAGCACGACTGCGAATATTAATGTTAATATTGATGAGACGGACAATAATACAGCCAGCAACAATAATAATAACGATTTGTTGCAAATTGGCAGTTTAAAACCACGCTATATAATGGATGACGTTTTTCATCGGGAAGACGAACGGTTGAAGACTTTTGATAATTGGCCATTGGATTGGTTAAATAAGAATGAATTGGCTATGACAGGAATGTTTTATATGGGCGAAGAAGATAAATGCAAGTGTTATTTTTGTGAAGTCGAAATTGGACGATGGGAACGCGAGGATCAGCCTATGTCTGAGCATTTGCGTTGGTCGCCGAATTGTCCATTGTTGCGTCGACGCACCACCAATAATGTACCCATCAGCCCTGAAGCTTTAGATAGCGTATTGCCAGCACCTAGTTATGATATCTGCGGCTTAAATGATACAATCGAAGTACGCCCTCAAGCTATTACTGATGAAGTGCGACCCAGTACAGCAGCAGCAAGTACCAGTACCGTTGGCAGTGGCAGTGATTGTATTTCCTCCACCACATTTTATCCGGAATTTCCCGAGTATGCAATTGAGACTGCACGAATGCGTTCGTTTGCCGAATGGCCGCGTCACATGAAACAGAAACCTAAGCAATTAGTTGAGGCGGGCTTCTTCTATACCGGTGTGGGCGATCGCGTGAGATGTTTCAGTTGCGGTGGCGGCTTGAAGGATTGGGGTGAAAATGATAATCCATGGGAGGAGCACGCTTTTTGGATGAGCAAATGTCGCTTTTTGAAACTAATGAAAGGTCAAAACTATATAGATGCCGTGCTAGATAAACAAAATAAAAAAGGTAAGGAAGCTGAAAAATTAACGAAGGCTGATTGTGAAGATAGGGAAACAGAATTGGGACCGGAAACGATCGCAATTCCTGCCGCCAATGCGCAAGCAAATGGCGCGGCAGCCGCCCCATCAATATTAGAAGAAAAACCGATTACAAAATCCATAAATGAAATGAAAGTTAAATTCTTAACCAGTATTCCCGAGGAAAAGATATGCAAAATATGTTATGCTACCGAATACAACACGACGTTTTTACCGTGTGGTCATGTAGTAGCCTGTGCCAAGTGCGCCTCTTCGGTAACGAAATGCCCAGTGTGCCGAAAACCTTTTACAGATGTAATGCGTATATATTTTTCTTAAAAATGAATAACCCACAAACTTTGTCTCGAACTCTCCAACCTTGTCTTATCTATTCCTAATTGAAGCACCTTCTCCGCTTATGTTGCAAATATCCAACATTGATAGCAACAATAACAATAATAATAATAATAATAATAATAATAACAACAACATTTCACAAGATATAAATAAATTTTTAACAAAACGAATTGTACGAACATGGTCGTAGACCATAGTATGTAATGATGAAACAAATCTAACGCCCAGTTAAGATTGATTTGGATTGTTTTTCTTATTAAATTTTTATTTTGAAAGTTTTCTTTATTAAAGAGCGCTTGATTCATTCCTCTCTTTTTCACGTTAGTCTTAATTGGTCGTTATACCTATTTTCTAAATGAAATCAATTAATAATAATCCGTAATGTTTTCGATGAAGAGGGAGGATGGACATTCTATCTTTTTAGTGCTTAGAATAGTTGGAAATATAAAGTTTTTGGAATATCTGTAAAGAACATAAAATTCATATACGTTAGTTTTCATATATATTTTTTTTTTAATTTTTATTTTTATTATTTCCTTCTCAGAAAAAAATTTCAAAAAAAAACAAAAAAAAAAAAGGAAAAATGTAGGAGAAAAACCATAAAACTTACTATTTGGTTTCTAACATATGTATATGTATTTGTAATTACGTCGGGATCGTTACTTGAAATTTACCAAATGCGTTAAAACGTAGAGCAGTTGGAAAGCTCTTCTAAATACAAAAAAATCACATGCATACGTATGTACAAGTACTATAAAATGTTTGTTAATGGTCCTCATATTGTACAACATTCTAATAACATTTTTGTATGTAAATTATCTTAAATTATTGATCGGTAAGCTATTGATTTTTTTTAAGTTCAAAATATATATGCACTTAAGAAGAGTACGTTATATATATATATATATATATATGTATATATGTATATATATATATATATAACAGTTTGTCAGTACATGTATTAATAAAAAATATAACGTATAATATAATCTAAGCATAAACTTCGTTTAGCTTTCATATGATAAAATGAAAGTTAAGTACAATATCTGTGTAATTTGATCGTTTGGAAAAGTAATAATAATAAATCTGTATATAACACTATTTTCCGACTTCGAAATTATTCTCTTTTCTCGATCTTAAGTTCAATACTCGAACGACCTATAGGACTTATCATCACTCTTGTGTCACCATATCTCTGGGCAAGATAGAATTTTTTTTTCACCTTCGAATATTTTTGTTCTGCCATGGATTTAAACCGACTCAAGTAAATTCTTTCTTGACATGTCTTCTTCCTCTGCTCAATATTCATCCCTGATACAATCTGTAAGCTACGGCCAAAGTAAACTTTACCGCACTGGGATTTGAAGCTAACTTACTAGTCGTCGTTCGTACCTATTCGACTATTATTGCGGGCAATCCGAATTAGAACAAGTGTGCAAAATTTCAATTAAATTAGGGAAATGATTTCTGAGAAATTGTGTCAAGCGACCTCAAAATCTGCGATTATTGAGAAAAAAAAGTCATTAAAGTTTATAGTAATGATAGCAGATCAAGTAGCTGTTAAAATTTCTAGAAAGATCTAAAATTTTGTGATACTATTGTTGGCCTTTCCCTCTGTTAGATAAAGAGAAAAAAAAAAAAAAAAAAAAAGCGAATTTTTTAAAATTTGAAAATCAATGCAAAGCGTTATTAAGAAATATAAATAGATTTTTACAAATTCCCCCAAATTTATTGTGTGTCTGTTATCTATCTTCGATTAAAATAATTATCTTAATTGATTTGGAAAATCTATTTTGTCGTCTATAAAACTCATGATGAGTTCAACACAAACCTATGCTCCATATGTGCAGCGATTGATAATGAATTTAACTTTAGCGTGTGTATACAACCTTCTATGGTAAATTTATGTTCTACATAGACAGACATGTTAGAATGGATTTATTGAAAATAATATATTGTTTAGCCCGATTACATTTGCTAACTTTATCCCGAATCTTGTCTGTTTTGGCTGAGTATTATTAGCTTTTAAAGTAAAAATTTAATATTTTCAAGACCGAAAATGTAAAACATTTGTAAAATTTGAAATTTTTCAGTTTTTGTACGAAATGCGCATGTGCTCGCTTCTCCCATTAATCGATAAATTTTTATATGTTCACTGAACGAAGAAACATTCATGCACGCGTTTAATGAAAAGCCTACAGAATGTACGCGAAACTATGAGAAAAAAGTGTCTGATGCTTGGAAAGTGGCCCCGAAGTATAGTAATGTCGTAGGTGGCGTACAACTTCTGTAATTTATTTGTAAAATAATATGGCGACAGCAATGGCGGCTTTTGCGCTAGCTAATGTACATAATCAAAAACAACTACATTCATAACTGAGAAGTTCCCTTTTTTTCTCTTTTTTTGTTTTTTCGTTTTTTTTTTTGTATCAGTACAGATACCGGAACATGTATGTGTAATATCTATCTGTAGAATTTTATATATCCATTTCGCAGGAGCAGAAATGTTTACGTCTGTGCACTTCTTTCGAATACATATTTTGTTCTCAGTATTTATTGTCGATGTATACAAGGGAGGACTTTACACATAAAAAGTCCAACATGAATAGGCTTTTCCGTATATAACTGTGCACATACACACACACACACACACACACACACACACACACACATGCACACGCGCACACACACAAACAACGCATGGAGCGATGGACTGACAATAGATATTTATGTAGAGGAGCATATTTGTATGGGTTGTAAATGTGTAAAAATTTTTAGCGCATGTCAAACCCCTATGATACCCATAAAGCGTAGTCTGTTGTAGTATGGAAAACAACAAAAAAAAAAAAAAGAAAAAAAAAGAAAAAAATGTTGCCAACAAATTTATGTGTAAAAAATTTCCAGCCATTGAAGCCACATATAATAGAGTGCATGGATGTATGTTGATGTAGGAAGTTACGACATAACTGGGCCTTTTTGCATATATGATGGCTGTATGCCTATAGAAATCATTTTCAATAGTTATTTCTCCTTATTTGATTCATTGTTGCTACTCCAACTGTTGTTGTATTAGTAGTAGCATTCGCTCATCTTTCAAAACTATATTGTGCTTGGATGGACAAAATGCATATACATCTATATATGCCGTTAGCGCCTTTCATTG